AACATTTGAGGGTATTATTCTAGAAGTTGTAAAGGCTGTGACCCTTATATCCTTATCGTCAGATGTTTGTATTTGAGACTTGTTGAGTATTTCAGTTTATCCACTCAAGACATTTGAGAGTCTTGTTCTAGAAGTTGTAAAGGCTGTATGCCTTATTTCTTATCGTTAGACAGTTGTATTTGAGACTTGTTGAGTATTTCAGTTTATCCACTCAGATCTTGACTATGTATTTCTGTATGGTTGGATGATGAGATATTTAAGTGACTATTATTATTTCATCAGTATTCCTTGCATTACCTCTCACCTGTTTTGTACCTACACCAGTTGTTGATTCTACTAGATAGATGTTAATTGTGATGGTGAAACATGTTATTGCACGGTGTGGTGCATAGCAGGTTTGACATTCTTGGAGATATATTGGGCCTTTTCAGATCCTAGAGCGCATTGGGGCTGTGTCATACAGACTAGATCTTCCAGCATCGATGTCTAGTATACACAACGTGTTCCATATTTCTATGCTTAAGAAGCACTTGCATGATGAGGAGCAGCAGCGAGTATTGGATACACCGGAGATCGAGCTTCAGGATGATTTGACTACTATTGAGATTCTGGTTCGTATTCTTGCCAGAGAGGACAAGAGGCTTAGAAACAAGGTAATTCCCTTGGTGAAAGTTCAGTGGAACCGAGGAGGCATTGAGGAGATTTCTTGGGAGCGCGGACTACCCACACTTGGTTGAGCAGGTAAATTAATTCTTATTATGTTATATATGTTACTTTATGTTATATTCTTGGTTATGTTTATATTTAACACTAGAATGAAGATATTTTCGCTTAATTTTAATCTTTTTGGACACATGGTATATATATGGGGGGTTCCTTGTTTGGATTTTTCACCCGACGTACTAGTTCCACTAGATTAGAATTTGAGCGAGAATGTTATCATTCTAGATCGTTAAGTATAAACATTCTATATGGTCACCTAGAAATTCATATTTCGAGATGCGTATGATTTCCGAATTTCGAGGACGAAATTCTTTTAAGGGGGGAAGAATGTAAAACCCCGAAAATAATAATGAATATATGTGAATTATTAATAGTGAATAATTCTCTTATGATGAATAATCATATATATACACATATATATGTCATATGAATGTAATTATCTGTGTTTGAGAACCCAACAAATGATTGTATGTGAGAGAAAATCGAGTGATAAGGCCAGCATGTAAAATGCCTAACAGAAGGCATTTTTGTGCTGAGCGGTCGACCGGCGCGGGCGGCCGTGGCGGTCGACCGGTGCGGTCGACCGATCAGCGGGTAGAGAGTTTCTCAGGTTCGGGTTTCTGTTTTGGTCTTTGGTTTTCTCAGGTTCGGGTTCAAACGGGTTTCGGGTCGGGTTTGTGAGTTGGTATATATGCTAATATACCCGAGAGAGCCCCTTTGGAGTTCTGAAATCAAAACCCTAGCCCCCCCCTCTTCCCTAAAACCCTAATCCTCTTTGTTGGTGATTTGGGGAGAAGTTCTTGAGGATTTGCAGCAGCTCTTGGTGGGATCCAGCGAAGGAAAGCGTTCTCCTTCAGTTTCAGCGATCCATTGCTCACCATAGGCGAGTAACTTCTCGCCCAATTCCCACCCCCTTTTGTTTTCATGTCAAAAATTGAGTTTTATTGGTTTTCATTGAGCCAAATTCGTATTTTGGATAGCTAATAGATCATTGTGGCATAAAGTATGATATTGGGGTATTACTTATTTTTAAAACTCACCAATGATTTTCTGTTTAAAGATCTAGATCTGAAAATATCTAAAAAGGAGTAAAAACCTTGTTTTTATTGCTAACGATGGGTAAATCATGTTTATATATATATATGGGATCTTTGTGACAAGTTTTTAAGGTTTAAATTCGTGATTTACTGCTTCATGACACTTCCATAAGTTTGGTTTTTGTTTAAAAATCATTGTTTTAGTTTTCAGCGGACAGAAAACCCAGATCTGGGTTCTGTCAGTCTCGCGGTCGACCGCATCGGTCGACCGCTGGGCGCGCAGAAGGTCAGAATGCACCTGACCTCTGCGCGGTCGACCGCGGCGGTCGACCGCGATGTCTTGGCGGTCGACCGAGTATATCTCTGCTGAACAGTGAGACTTGTGTCCGTATGAGGTCGACCGGGTCGGTCGACCGCCGCCCAGTTTCCTGCACTAATTGTTTTGCTGTATGTTTTTCAAGTGTTCGGGGGTTTTGCCTCGATTATAAATACTAAATTTTAGTTTTTGCCATACATCTGTGTATGATAGATGACTTGAGAGTACTAAGTTTAGAATCACGCACTGAGGGACGTGTGTGATTTGCCTATATGTATTCTTTTCTCATATCTTATCGATATTCACTTTTGGGTCCAAGTATCAGGCAAAACTACATTATCTCAGTCCTCGTGTTGGACTATAATCCCTTAAAGTCCTCGTGTTGGACTATAATCCACCTTAGTCCTCGTGTTGGACTATAATCCATTTTAGCCCTTGCATTGAATATTTACCGCTTAAACCATTTGTTGACCAGTTATTAAGCCATGAGTATGTCACTTATTTGGTTATGACAGGACACAGTTGTTTATGTTCTGAGACGGATTAGTTTCTCTTTATTATTGTTTCTGTATTAAACTTTGGGTTTGGTATTTAGGGATTTACAAATTTGAGATATAAGGTATATACATGAGGGTTTCCTTGTTTGGATTATTTCGCTCGACGTACCTATGCTCGTGTTGTAAATTTCTAAATACTAAAAACCTCTATAGTATGATCTATGATTTTAGATCTCTTAAATAATAACTGTATTTTCTTATACAACGAGCCCTGTTCCCTTGGGGTTGGTTGTGATGTTACTCGCTAGCGCTTTGACGCTCGTTGTCCCTCCCCCTTTCAGGTAACGAGCCAGGAGTCCGGAGAGTCGCAGGTTGATGGCGAGGCATTTTAGCTTCAGCTGTTTACTTAGATATATTTTCTTTTAGAGTTCCACAGTAGACTTTTGTTTAGGTATTTGAGAGTCTTATTCTAGAAGTTGTAAAGGCGGTGTGCCTTATTTCCTCCTGTCAGACATTTGTATTTGAGACTTGTAAAGTATTCCGGTTTATTTACTCAGATCTTGACTATGTATTTCTGTATGTTGGATGATGAGATATTTATGTGATTGTTATCATTCCATCAGTATGTCTTGTATTATCTTTTGCCTGTTTTGTACCCACACCAGTTGTTGAATCTACTAGACAGATGTTAATTGTGATGGTGAAACATGTTATTGCACAGTGTGGTGCATGGCAGGTTTGACATTCTTGGTTTCACCTTGGACTGCAGCCTTGTGTGAACCCAGGGGCGTCACAGTGCATAGCTTTACTTCCATATTCCACCAACCTCCTTTTGATATCATCGTGAAGGCACAATCCAACCATCCGCCATTAGATATAAGCTAAAAACAAATAAAAATAAACACTAAAAACCATATTATAAATTGTTTGTTAAATCACGGACTACGAGTGAATAGTATTATAAGAGAATATAGGAACCTAAAACAAATTATGGACTCAAAATAGCAACAAATTATTGACCATAGGCTTTAGGATTAAAATATTCGGATAACTCGAGATATGATTTAATTACACAAAAGATGTTGAATTTTGTGGCCCGTGGGCCACTTTGGCATTGTTTTTAGGGTATTTCTGCAATTTTAAAAAAATTATCAATAATGATGTTTGGGGAAATTTTCTTCGCATGCCTAGTAAAATTACTTTTACATTTTAATGGGTGCTTTTAGAAGTAATCTCAGTATGCTTTTAAAAATAACTTTTTTTAGCTTACATATCATATATGACATTTATTTTTTGATAGTGATATTTAAGCACAGTTTTACAAAACACATTAACTGTCTTTTGGAAGCAGATATTAATATATAATTATCAAATGACTATTTACGGCAACTTATACAAATTGCTTTTATAAGCAACTTAATATAAGCTCCAAAAATACCAAACTGACCCATTGTCTCTACATAAATAATTTTAAGAGCACTGATTGTAATTTTACCGAGGATCCTAAAATTTGTTTATTTTTTTTCCTTTTAAAGGCTAGCATCTCTAGGATCACATGTACAATTATACTGTACGTCATGGCTCTTGATATATCTATCCAAGATTCTATTTGTAGTCATAAAAATTATTTCAAATAAAAATCATTTCAAGAAAGATTATCTTTCAGAACCGTGTTTGATTTTTGAAACGAACAAATTTTCAAAACAGCCTTATTTTATTTTTTTTATTTTTAAAATCGACTCATTTTTTTTATTTATCAAAACCGACCCGTTTTTTGCCACGTCAGCCTAATCACCCTCCTAAACAGTCGGGGTTGCCAACCCCGACTATTTAGAACATAAAATTTTAGGGTTTAAGGTTTCTAATTGGGGTTTAACACCCTCCTAAATAGTCAGAGTTGGCAACCCCGACTATTTAGGAAGGTGATTAGGCTAACGTGGTAAAAAAACGGGTCGGTTTTGATAAATAAATAAAAAACGGATCGATTTAAAAAAATAAAATAAAAATAAAGCTGTTTTGGAAAATTATTCTTTTTGAAACTAGCAAAGAAAAATGCTCTACCTAACAAACATTTTTCTCGTGGCAATGTGACCACGTGAATAGAATACACGGGTCCGCAAGTTGGGCCCATATATTTTATTAACCGAGCCCGTTACCAGCAATCTTGCGACACCGGGCAGGGGGACATCTCTGACACGATCAACGCACGTGCGGGCCCCACAAAAGATTCTTGTAACAGAACAGACTGCGCCCGTGACTTTACATCAAGTCGAAATCATCCCGAGGCCGGTCTCCCTCATTCTCCACCACTCTCCTCTCTCAAGTCTCCAATGGCGCGAGACTAAACCTAAACTCTGCAATTTCTAGGGTTTCTCCTCCGCCTGTTCCATGTGGAGGTTCTCGCCGCCGCCGCCGTAGTACTGATTCGCCGCCGAGTACGACGGCCCTCGGTTCCCTTCGAGATCCCCAAGGCCATCCCCATCGAGATCGAGCAGATCCCCGTCGCCTCCATCGCCACGTCAGCCCCTCCCCTCCACTCTCTCCCCGTTGTCAAACCCTTGCAAGATCTCGATATCATCTCCTCCAGCGAGCTCAACGCCGCCACCGACTCCTCCTTCACCTCCGACTTCGATGACGACGAAGACGACTTCGAGTCCTACGACGATGGCGAGCTCGACCAGAAGCCGACCTCGGTTGTCTCCTTTCGAGAGACCTCATCGAGATCGGAGCCGAGAGTGAAGAGAGGTTGCTGCTATCGGTGCTCTAAGGGGAGCTGGTTCACTGAGAAAGAGGCTTGTTTGGTTTGCGACGCAAAGTATTGCAGCAGTTGCGTTTTGAGAGCTATGGGTTCGATGCCGGAGGGGAGGAAGTGTGTGGGTTGCATTGGGAGCCCGATTGAGGATTCGAAGCGAGAGAAGTTGGGGAATAGCTCGAGGTTGCTAAGGAAGCTGCTGAGCTCGCTGGAGGTTGAGCAGGTTATGAAGGCTGAGAGGTACTGCGAAGCGAATCAGTTGAGGGCGGAGGATATTTATGTGAATCGGCAGCAGTTGACGCAGGAGGAAATGGTCTTGTTGCAGAGTTGTGAGTGCCCGCCGCCAAGGTTGAAGCCTGGGTTTTACTGGTACGACAAGGTGTCGGGATTTTGGGGAAAGGTGAGAATTTTATTTGTTCTGACTGCAGATGTAAGTTTTTAATTTAACATTTGACCAAATATGATACACAATAAGAAATATGTTGGCAATGCAGTCTTACAGGAAATTAATTTATGGCCACAATACTGTTCAGTTTCTTTGATGCTGTGAACTCCCCACAATAAGTAAAAATTTGGATGAGTAGCTTAACATCGATTCTAGCTTCCAGAGTGTAATGTCTCATATATGATAAGGATTATGATGGTTCTGAGCTTGATAATTTGTGGGAATGATTGTTTTTCTTTCACATTGACAGGAAGGGCATAAACCTGACAAGATAATTACTGCAAACCTCAATGTGGGAGGTTGTCTTATGCAAAACGCAAGCAATGGGAATACTGGTGTCATGATAAATAATCGTGAGATAACAAAAGTTGAGCTGCAGATGCTTAAGGTTTGCAATCTAAACATAATGTATTTACATTTACCGATGCAGGCTCCTGCAATCCTGATAGATGTGGTTGTATCCCAGTGGGCAGGAGTCCAATGTGCCGGAAGTCCTCACTTCTGGGTGGATGCTGATGGATCATACCGGGAGGAGGGACAGAAGAATGTAAAGGGGAAGTTATGGGGCAAGGTAATTTCATGGTCATGCTTTTAATAAATTACCGTGTCTTTAATTTGTCGATTAAGTTGAGGTAAATTTTTCTGATCTATTTGTTTGAACAGGCTAGAACCAAGCTTCTATGCTCTTTTCTGTCACTGCCAGTTCCTTGTAAGGGTGGAAATCCCTCCGGTGAAGAAGTGAATAACATGCTTAATGGAGCATTTCCTAATTTTTTTGAGCAAAGAATGCTTCAGAAGTTCTTGTTGGTTGGATATGATGGATCAGGAACCAGTACCATATTTAAACAGGTAGTACAAATTCATAAGTTTGAGTATGTCAACAATTTATACCAGTCCTGTGTTCCATAATGCATTCTGTTCTCTCCCTGGAGAATAACTTTCTGAATGATATCTCCTATTTTTACACTTTACACCCTTTCTAATTAAAGCATTAACTACAGATGTAACTTCTTTAAATGATTTTGTTCAAAATGTTAAATTGCTGTTAATTTGTAGTCTAGAGGAGACTAAGCGGTAGCAACTAGTGGTTTGATTATGAATATTTTGGACGGGATAGGAATACATTGGTGTCGCTATCAGCTTCTTCAACCTTGGAGGCATTGTTCTTGTTACTAATGGAACCTGTGATGACATAATCCGTAACAGTTAACAATATACTAATCAAACTTGTAGCCTATATATCGACTTTAGAGATAATGTAAGGGTCCTTATTATGGGTCAATTTTTCCTATCAAAATTCTTATAGTGTTTCTCTTGGGAAACAATTTATTTTGTATTACTAGTATCTTGCTGCTAGACACGTAAAGCATTCATGTTCTCCGCTGGTGCTGAGATTTGGTGTGCCATGCTATTTTCTTCACCTGCATGCCACTTGTACGACTTTATACATTTTCTTTGAAATCTTAATTTATGTGTCTTCACTTTACATTCTGCAGAGAACTTTTTTTTCCTTACATAACAATAATATCTCTCTGTTATCAATAATTTCCATATTAATATGGTAACTAGTTGAATGTCTAGGTAGTATGCAGATAATGATTTAATCAATTTAACATTTATGACAGGTCAAGTTTTTGTATGAAAACATTCCATTCTCAGAGAATGAGCGTGAAAGTATTAAACTTTTGATTCAAAGCAGTATATATAGCTATCTGGGTGTACTGCTTGAGGGCCGTGAACGGTTTGAAGAAGAGGCTTTGGCTGAGTTAAAGAAGAAACGACCATGTGATAGGACAGGTATTGTAACCTCCTTGTACTTTTCATTTTGCAGAGCAACCATATATTTCTGGCTTCATATATCTTCTTAACAGGAGTAACTTTTCTATGTGTAACATTGTATGTTACACTGTTGTCCTTAATAATTATCATTAACACTGGAGTATAGGAATCCATTGAGGAGTAGTTGTTGCCTGCTGTTTAATTGGAGGTTAATCTCCAAATTTTTTTGGCAAAAGAAAACAATGGAGGTTAATCAGTTGTAGATGTATTTATGACATGCCATATCTTGGTTGATGATTATTATTGGTCTGCCTAATGATTTCTTGTCGTGTTTTAATTGTTTTTATCGTTTTGTGTATCTAAGGACTGCATAAAGCTTAAGAGCATTGGAAAACAGTGGACAGACATAAAACATTCTAGTTGAAGAGCATTATATAATTGCTTCTCCATTGTTTTTCTCCTTCAAAAAGAGGAAACCCTGATTTCTAAAAAATGGAGGCAGTGTCATTTCTTTCTGCAAAAACCAATAATTCTTTTTGAAATTATGTTAACTAAAAATAACCAAACAACCTTGTCCCACCATGTCTATTTCTTTCCGTACAAAGCAAGGAATTTTTTTTGAAACTACATTAAATAAAAAATAACCAAACAGCCTTGTCTTACCATGTCTCTTGGAAAAGCTTTCTCTACTGTGCTCTTTCAAGCATTAATCAGTGACTATACACGCCCTAATACGAAAAGCAAGTGTGAAATTACCCTTTTGTACTACCATTTTAAGCAATGTGAAAGAGAGCTTGTTTGTAGCAGGTAATGATGTCTCTGATGAATGTGATAATGTGACTATATACTCCATGAGTCCACGACTTAAAGCATTTTCAGATTGGCTGCTCAAGGTTATGGCAGCAGGTAATCTAGAAGCTATCTTTCCTGCTGCTACACGTGAATATGCACCTATTGTTGAGGAACTGTGGAAACATGCTTCCATTCAAGCTACATATAGCCGGAGAAGAGAATTGCAATCACTTCCTAGTGCTGCTAGTTACTTTCTACAAAAGGTAACACACACTTTATGTTCCTTGTCTGCATGTTTTCATCATAAGTTGCTTATTATTTCTATTTATTCTGTTAATTTTCTTTTTTTTAAATTGTTATTTTTATAGTAGTCTGCACATATTATATCCTCTTTCATTCTTTTCACGTAAAAGTAAATAGTAATCCATGTAAATGTTGCTTTCAATATCCTTTTTATGAAAGATCTGGTTGCATATGGTTTTCCATGAACTCTTTGTATAGATACAGCAACATTTCTTCTTATTTCTCTGATGGCGAGCTGAAACGAATGTTTTGATGAATATCTAAATAAAAAGTGTGGGATGTGTAGGATCTTGTTGAACATGGCACTCTTGTATAGAAAATTCAGATAGGAACTAGAGTTGAACTCCTTTGTCTGATTTGTTAAACCTGAACATTTTATAACTAAGTATAGTAAACTAGTTCAAAAAAAAAGTTGATCCATCTTCCAAGATTTTAAATGACTTGGCTGCCGGATTCCCTTGGATGATAGATCATAGCAATGGGTGTTGGATACCTTACTTCAAATGGATATTCATTTGAAATTTTCTCATAGAAGTTAAGGCTAATATGTCGAACACTAGTCATAGCTGAAAGAACTGTGCAGACTGTCGAGTAAATACAAAAATGACACTTGCTCATCTGTTTCCAGACTAAGATACTAGAACTGTCCACCTATAGCTTTGCAGCTGACGATTGTTGTGGATTATGAATTGGGAGCAATGACACAACATGCTCTATGTGCTAGTATGTGATTCACTAGCACATACCATACTTACTGGTTGCATAAGCGATTTGGGTGTTTTTTGGGAGGGTAAAAAAAAAGAACTAAGGTAAAATAATTAAATAAATGTAAAATATTTACAAGATCTTAATAATGTAAATGTGTGCAGATTCAGTAAGGCTTGATTTTAGAGGACCAGTTAAAGTGAAAAGGGTATATTGCACTTAACCTTCCTCATTATACCTCCAGTTGCACTAAACCCCACTAAACTCATTTACAAGCACTTAGCACCCCTGAAATGACATTTTTAAAAAGATAAATTGCATGCAGTACTCGTCTTCCTGGTGAATTGAGGGAAGCTGATTTCAAATAAATGCGTTGAAGGGGGTTTAGTGCAACTAAAGGTATAGATGAGAGAGCTTATTTTCAATTTACCCTTACAAATAAATGAAATAATATGGTCCCCCAGTTACATTGTGTTTTATTCACTCTGTTTTTCTTTTTCTTTGAAGTTTTTCAATATCTTATCATGTCATAGTTAGTTTAAAAAAATTTCATATGTTGGGTCAAGTGTGGAACTATGGTTTCTACTCAGAAATATTGAGTCAGAAGGAAGCATACTAGCCTCCCAGTAAAATGATAAGTTACAATAGTTGAATACCTGACTTTCTCATGCTCAAAGATAGTCTGCCTGCATCAGATTTGTTTTATTTATCAGTCTACCCTAAGAATTCCCCGCCCAGGGGGTGGGGTGAGGTTGGGGGGTACGATGAGTTCAAAAATATAGTGTTCTTACTATTGAACACAATGCAGATTTAGGGATTTTATGAATTTCAAGTTGTAAACTGAGAGGATGCAGGAATTTGTTGAGCTTGTTGAGTATGAAAAGGGACCATCTTGCTCATGCTGAAGATAAACAAGCTGAATCTTATAGGAACTATCTTGGGATTTCCTTTATATTTGAAGCGGAGTATTCACTCTAATTGGTTCTTCTTCTCACTCATATGACTGCCATGATTATTAACCGCAAAATATTCTCTTCTATAGCTTTAACCTTATCGGTGACTAGCTGCCTGGTTGATAGAAGCTTCTAATCTTTTATACATTTTCTTATTTTAGGTCCCTGAGATGTCACATACTACTTTTGCAGGTGGTTGATATATCCAGGGTGGAGTATGAGCCTTCAGATTTAGATATTCTCTATGTGGAGGGAATAACTTCAGCCAATGGACTGACATGTACAGAGTTCTTGTTTCCAAAGTTAGCTGAAGAAAGTGGTGATAATACTGACCAACAGGACGCAGTAAGGTTGGTGCAAATTTATCTCAGCCATTATATATTGGCCACATATGACTGTCTAGGTTAGGAAACTAGTTTAATTGTCCCCAACAGCCATAGCCGGAGAGTTTAGTGATAGTGTCGTCTTTATGTGATTAAAAGGATGGGGGAAATACACTAAGACTGTGTCGGGATACTCAGAAAAAATAAGAGTAGGATCTAGCCAAGTCTTTTAGGTAACTTGCTGTATATGGCATTGTTTATTTATTTATTTTTCTTCAATTGACAAACTGAAATAAAGAAAGGAATTATTTCTCTTGTTTTGTAGTTTAAAAGCGGAGTACGAGAACACTGGGAATAAAGTTCAGGCTATAATTTTATCGTGATCAACTTTAGTCTTTCTCTCCTCAAAAATTGAAATTTGTGAAGTAGAAGAATTGTTTTCTCCCCCCTTCCACACGCGCACATGCACACACCTACCCATGCACGCGTGCACACATTATTTGTTAATAGTTTTGATGCAGCAATACTCGTCCCAAATTTGTTTCCATACTGTAAATTCAACCAATTGCTTGAGAGATAGTTTGAGTCCGACATCGGTCACATAGATGACACATTAAGGTTAAGGTTAAGATGAAACATGCAATTCCTTGAAGGGTAGGCAAGAAAGAACACAGCATGACAACATATTTTATATGAATGTGTACAAGTAGAGCACATCACTACATATGTATTCCTTCAGAAGAAATACAGAACAGACATGTAAACCCATGAAATTTCAGACAGGTCATTTTATTCCTAATAATGGACAAGATAATAATGTTATATTATCATTGTTTGGGATTTGTCGTGGGCCTTTACTCTTTGTCTTTCTATAGGATAATGCAGCATCTCACTTCTCATGTTGAAATATAACCTAAAATTATCATTACTGTATACAAGCTACTTTTTGGTATCTATTTTTAGCACATGCAGGATACTGATACATATTTTTCCGTGCAATTAGCATGAAATAAGTAATTTTTGTCAGTGCAAGCATATCTATGTTTGAAAGAGACTGAAAGTGTCTGAAATGAAAAATATATGCTTTAAAATTGTAAAAATATGGTTTTCAACATATGCAGGATACTGATACAAATCTTGCTGTGCAATTAGTATGAACTAAGTAATTTTAGTGAGTGCAAAAAAAAAATCTGTCTAAAAAGAGTCCGAAAAGTGCTTGAAATGTAAATATATATTATAATACTGAGCACTTTTTGAAAAGTTCTATATGGATTGTTGAAAAAGTTTCAGCATCTAATATCTGTCCAACACAAGTAGATAACAAAATTGTCTGGCTATATAGATTATTTGGACTAAATCAAGCGGATATGATATCAATAGTATTTGTCATTCCTCGGATTTCATTAGAATATTAGATGCAGACTCAATTATATGCACCTGTCGTGTCTTCTTTCTGTGTGGTGTTCAGACTGGCAACTTTCCCCCCTTTTATTTTAATAACAATGAATATATGAGACCATTGAAAACCCATGGTAAAGAAAATAGAACAGAAACTATGCTGTCCCTTGGAGTACGTTCATATGACATCTGAACTTTGCAGATTTTGTACATATAAGAAAGGTTGGAAAAGGGATACGAAGTGCTATTATTCTTTATAATAATTTTTTAATGTTCATCTATTGCAGGTATCAGCTCATTCGACTTCCTCCAAAGGGCTTAGGCGAGAACTACAAATGGCTGGATATGTTTGAAGATGTCCGGATCGTCATCTTCTGCGTAGCCTTAAGCAACTACAGTGATTTCTACAAAGATGTAAATGGAGTCTCCATCAACAGAATGATGGAGAGCAAGAGGCTCTTCGAGAGCATCATAACTCATCATGCTTTCAAACACATGGATTTCCTTCTAGTTCTCAACAAATTTGATCTTTTTGAGCAGAAACTTGAAACAACTCCTTTAACATTATGTGACTGGTTCAATGACTTCAGTCCCATTTCTAGCCGCCAACGTCTAAGCAACAACAGCAGAAAGTTCAACGGTGATGCCACAAAAGCTGAGCAGGCTTTTCATTATGTTGCTGTTAAGTTCAAGAGGCTATTTGCTTCAGTTACAGAGAAAAAGCTTTATGTTACTTCATCGAGAGGTTTGGATTCAGAATCTGTCGATGCTACACTTCGGTATGCGAGAGAGATTCTGAGGTGGGAAGAAGAGAGAAGGCCATTAAACAATGATGAGTTCTCATACTTTGACATGACCACCACTTATCAATGATGTTTGTAGAGGAAGAAGGTAGAATTGATGCTTGTAGATAGATTGGTTGTTGATTTATGTTCTCATTTGCTGTGTTAAGGAGAGGGAAGATGACTTCCTCTATGTCTTATTTCTGCTGGGGTTAAGAAAGCATTTTGTATATCTTGACTGTAGATATACTGACAAGATGTCATTGGCTATAAGGCTGAAAATTGTAAAAGGTCGGCGTGAGTCTAGTAATTTTAGTCCTCAGGGAGTTCTATGCGCTGCCTCTAGATTGGAAGCTCAACCCCCCCCCCTCCCGGCCCCGCCACGCTAATTGAATGGAATAGGGGTGTTCTCATATTTTATTTGAGAATAAATTTTCAAAACAGCCTCAAGCTATGTTTTAATTTTCAAAACCGACCCATTTTTCTTTTTACCAAAATCGACCTATTTTTTACCACGTCAGCTTAATCTCATTCCTAAACAGTAGGGGTGGCAACTCCGACTGTTTAGGAGGTTGTTAAACCCCAATTAGAAACCTTAAACCCGATTTTTTATACTCTAAATATTCGGGGTTGGCAACCAATCCCGATTAATTAGGAAATGAGATTAAGCTGACGTGGTAAAAAGTGAGTCGATTTTGGTAAAAAAAAAAAAGGTCGGTTTTGAAAATTACATGGTTTGAGGCTGTTTTGAAATTTTTCTTCTTTTGTTTGATCCTGAGGGCTTGTTCGGCAACTTCTTAAAATGAGACCAGGTTTGGCCTTACCTCTCCTTTTGGAGATGATCGTGCTTGGGTCCTGGTTGAAAAAGTGACACCTAAGCTAGTTCTTTTGTGGATCAGGGGGATTGGTTGACAAAAGAATCACTTTAGAACAAAACTGTGTTCGGATAGATCCTGATCTAATTTTAAAAGGGCTGTCAAAAACACGCTTATTAATAAATATTAATTCGTACATATTAATCATTACATTTTCTCATAATATCTTGTGATGTAATATGTAATTATTTGAAGAAACTTAAAAGAGTTTCAAATTGAATTTGTAATTGAACATTCAAATTGAAGAGTTATTATCACTCTGAAGAAATAGTTCTCAAATGTCAACTTAGATATTATCTAACGACTCAATTTCTTTCATCCAATACAAGCGTTTTGGCAATAAAATGGTTTCATAATTATAAGCTATTCATTGTTAAAATCAAATAACCTTTAATATGCAACGAAATTGAAAGTAGACGTGACATTATGCGACTCGCATGTGATCTGTTTGCATAACAACACGCGACACCTCTACTAATGAGCCTTTCCACGTGCATAGCACGTGCTCAATCGTAGCAAAAAACAAAGAAATCATTTATCAGCCGTTAGCCTGCTACTAGCAAAACAAAAAGTTTAAAATAATGATGCTTCGTGAGACATATATGCACCGAACCCCCCTCAACATTTCTCCAAATTAAGAGAAACCCAAAACTCCGCGTCCACTTCAAGCTCCGAGATTTGATTCTCAAACCCTCGAGCTCTCTCTCTCTCGCAGCCAACCCCGATCACCGTGCGAACTCCCTTTAGGGGGGAGAGAGGGAGTATCGGGTTCAGTTGTCTCTCAGTGCTCGGGATCGACCCAGTTCTCTTCGTCCACGATTTAGGGTTTTTGAGGCGGGAAATGATATTTTCAGCCCCAAATTCTGAGAGATGAGGAGAAGAGGTTTCGATTTGAGGAGGCCAGGGAGGAGGCGATGGCTTTCATCGGGTTGGATTTGGTTCTTATTGATTGGATTGGGGTCCCTCTTGTTCCTCCTTTTGGTCACCACGCAGGAAAAGACCCCGAGATCTCGGCCGCTCATCGTTCAGGTTCGATCTTTTTCCGTCAATCTCAATTGGGTTACTTTAGTTTTGATCTGATTGCATTTGAGAATTCGTGAGAAATGAAGGAAGTTTGATCAATGCAGGATCTAAATTTAAAATATCTTAGCCCTGAGTAGTTGTGATTGAAATTAGGAGAATGACAACATCAGTATAGCTTTCAAATTAGGATAGTGGCAATTTATTTATAATCATTTTTTTTTCATGTAAAGGACTTGAAGGGCAGAGCATTATTTAGGAGAAATGAAGAGTTCAGTACTATGTTTCTTTTTAATGGTCATCTGACTTTCGTATGTGTTGAAGGATCTGAAACCTTTTAAGTCTCCCACTGAAAATCTAATGACAAAGGAATGACGATATCAAACCCAACCCTTCTGAATATTTTATTCACAGATCAATGAAAAAATTTATGCCTCTTGTGACAGCAGAGAACACTGTGCTCACTTCTTTTCAAGAAAGAAAATTGAAAATAGTTTAACTCACACCTATAAGCATAATTTGAGCAACTTCCTGCCATGCACAGAAGATATATATTAAATGAAGATAATGAGTTTCTACTTGCTAATTGCTTCCAAGCAATATAGATATTGAAGTTCTACGTGAAGGTTATAAAAGCTTTAACCCATGGTTCCAAGTAATTCATTCCTCCCTCCTCTCCAGCATTTTGTTCGCATCATTAAGTTTTACATGGTGAATCCTTCGATATTCCACAATCTCATGCATTTTTTAGGGAAAAAAGTTACTTCTTTTCCTCTTCCACAGTCCTTGTTGGTTTTACTTGATTACAAAGCTTCATTGGAAAAACATGACTTCTCTACAATCGCGAGTCACTTTTTTATCAAGTCCTTTCAGAAGCAATTTATTTTCATATCTACTGGGCTCTCTGTTCATCTCCTGTAGAATTTACCATAAGAGAATCATTTGACTAGTATTTCGTCATTGTTTTAAATTACTACTTGGTACATTTCTTTGATGAATGAAATGAAAGAGTCAGTCCTCAATCCTCATTGTTGATACCTTGTCTCCCCTACTGTAAACACAGCCATAGCTATTGGACGACTGGTTCTCTAGCTAAATCGGTAACTGCAGCTGGCTTCCCCCGAACAACACCTCCACACCCCTGAACTGTCTGTTGGAAATTTTAAAAGCTGTAATGGTTGGAAATAGAAGAGGGGAGAAAATTACATATAAGAGAGGAAAATGATGCCAAGCATAGGTAGCTGCCTAAGTTACAGAGGCACAAGTGCGGCTATGGCAAATATGTAAAAATTAGGATACGAGGATACAACTGTACATACATATGTAATAATTATATGAGATCAATATTGTTCTTCATTCACGTTTTAAATTCCTATAACATTTGTATGTTTCTTTTATGTTTTTTTAATCATATAAACCTATAAATTAGAAAACTTCTTGTTTTCTTAACCTGATATCCAAAAGACCATTTAACGGGTGGAACAAACCTGATATGTGTTACAACAAGTATCAATAAGTATATGTTAAGTGTAGGATATAGTCCAAGAAACGCAAGAAGTGTATGACAAGTGTTGTGAGTTAAAAAACATGTACTATATAACAATTTTGAATGAGTATACGGATATATCCTACGAGTGTCCAATGCAACTTAGCTAGCTGCTTTTTGCTGCATACACATGAACAAGGGAGGGAGGAAGGAAGAATAAGTTTTTGACTTGTGTCTGGATTAATGACTTCACACCAAACAAGGCTTCGCCCCTTTTTTTGTTGGTTCACACTTTGTAAACTAGGGCTTCATGCCCATGAATGCATCACAGGATTGAAAATCAGAATTTCTTTAATAAACATCTTTCTCCTGTTTATTGAAGAGAAACTGATATTTTGTAGTCATGCAAAACGTGATTACCTAGAAACTAGTCCTTAATAAGACAAAAAATCTAGTCATACTAAAAGTAAAAAATCCTAATAATTAGGTTCTAAAAAGATTCTAAAAGCAAATAACCCCTAGTTAGTAACTTGCATTTAATAAATAAGGCTACAATAAAATTTCTACTAAATTAATACTAAAAGAAATCTTGGTCATCTTTGTTCCCATTTCAGTCATTTGTTCCGTTGTGATTTTCCAGACAAAAGTTGTCTAAATTTAGTCCATCATGTGCATAGATGAAATTTATAAGCTTTGTTGAATGCATTAATTGTTTGAAAAATTCTCATCCTTACATCAAGTTTGTTAAATTTCTGAAAACTTTCCGAGGAAATAACTCACCCTTTTTTGTTGTTGTAGATAAAGCTTAACAGTGATATATAATATTCATAGCATTGGTCATTAAAATATTCTAGTTATCATGTCTCTTCTTTATATTCATGCTGTATTTTATTATGGTGAGACACTGGTTTCTTGTTGATTTTCTCCAACTAAGTTGGGATTTCATATGCCTTTCTCATGTCTGACTGAACTATAGTTTATATAAAAAATTGTGACTGCTCATTTAATGACCTTAAGTTGGCTACTCTATTTTTAATTTTGAAAGAAGGGAATTGGCACTAGTTTGCATGTCAAACTTCAGTTAGGGGTACTATGCTTCTGGAGTTTCAGCTTATATAAGGTTCGTAAGTAGTACATTTTCTTTCTACATTTGGAGGTGGCTGCTTATTAATTTATGTTTTTTCGTGGTTTTTTCCCACCAATTTATTTTTTTATTTATTATTATTATTATTATTTTTTTTTTTTTTTTTTTTTTTGGGG